ATTTTTTGGGGATTTTTTCTGATTTTTTTTTTATTTTTTATGAATTTTTTCTGATTTTTCGACAATTTTTTGTGAATTTTTTGGTCAATTTTTAATCAATTTTTAATCAATTTTTAATTATTCCAAATAGATTTAAAACTAAGAAATTCTTTTAAAATAAAGGGATTTTTGGGGAATAATTTGGAATTTTTAATACAACTTTTTCTGAATTTCTTGAATTTTTTTATTCATATTTTTTTTGATTTTTCAAGCATTTTTAAAGCTAAAAGTTATGGAATATTTCAGAGCAATTGTAGAATTTTAAACTAAAATTCTGGGATTTTTTCCATAATCTTTAGGGAATTTTTTTCATAATTTTTGGAGGATTTTTAAAAGATTTTTTGGGGATTTTTCGAAGAATTTTTAGGAGAATTTTTGAGGATTTTTAGAAGAATTTTTGGGGATTTTTTTTAAAGAATTTTTGGGGATTTTTTAAAAGAATTTTTAATTTATTTCCATCCCCCAAAATCCCAATTTCCCCCTAAAAAAATCTCGTTTTTCATTCAAAAAATCACATTTTTTCACCTAAAATTCACATTTTTTGCCATAAAATCTTCATTTTTTCACCTAGAATCTTCATTTTTTCACCTAAAAACTCCATTTTTTTTCCCCAAACCCCTTTTTTTTGCCCAAAACTGCGATTTTTGGCCCCAAACCTCGAGCACGAGCCAGGTGGAGGCAGTGACCAGCACAGGCAGGACGTAGAAGGGGTCGGGGGCGGCCAAATTGGGGAACCAGCCCAGCCCCCCCTGCAGCAGCCCCGGCACCGGCGCCGCCGCCATCCCCTGCAGGGCGAAGAAGAACGACACAAAAAGGGGGGTCTGGGACCCCCCAACAATTAATAGTTAATTAACACATAATTAGAAATTAATTAGGATTTTTAATGGAATTTTTTTCTGATTTTTTTGGGATTTTTTTCTGATTTTTTTTGGATTTTTTATGAATTTTTTCTGATTTTTCGACAATTTTTTGTGCATTTTTGGGTCAATTTTTAATCAATTCCTAATCAATTTCTAAATACTTCAAACAGATTTAAACATAAGAAAGTCTTTTAAAATAAAATAATTTTTGAGGAATAATTTGGGATTATTAATAAATTTTTTTCTGAATTTTTTCCATTTTTTATTGATTTGTTTTCATTTTTGAAGTCCTTCTAAAGCTAAAACTTATGGAATATTTCAGAGCAATTATGGAATTTTAAACTAAATTTTTGAAATTTTTTCAATAATTTTTGGGAATCTTTTTCAGAATTTTTTTAGAAATTTTTCAAGGACTTTTTTATTTTTTTTTTTAATTTGAAGCCACAAATTCTTCACAAAACACCCAAAAATTAAAGAAATCCCCCCCAATTTTCAACCCAAACCCCCCCAGATTTTCCCAGCACCCCCCAAGGTTTCTCCAGAATTTATTCCCGAAATTTTTTTGGGATTATTCCGGAATTTTTTGGGGCAAATTCCCGAATTTTTGGTGTTTCCAAACCTGCACGAGGGGCACCAGGAAGCCCCGGAGCGGATTGACGTCGTGACGCCGCTGATACGAGACCAGTTCCGAGTAAGCCATGGCCACTGAGGGGTTAAAAAGGGGCGTGGTAAGCCCGGGCGGGCGTGGCAAACAAGCCACACCCACCTCAGATCAGCCACACCCCAAAAATCCTGAAAAAATTGAGAAAAATTAGCAAAAATTTGCAAAAATTAAAATGGAGCGAGGCCCCTTTAAGAGCAAGCCACACCCACTTGATGCCCATATATGGAATAAGACTAATGTTGAAGACATTGAGGCCACACCCCTTTTGCCACACCCATTTAAGGTCATGTTTTTTCCCCGTGTATTTCCCAAATTTCCCCATTTTAATCCCCAATTTTCGGCCCCTCCCACTCCAATTTAGGCCACACCCACCTGAGCCAAGCCACACCCATAAAAAAATCCCAAAAATTGCAAAAAATTATAACTGAGTGAGGCCCCTTTAAGAACAAACCACACCCACTTTATACCCATATATGGAAAAAATCATGGCGGCAATGCGCGAGGCCACGCCCCTTTCTGGCCACATTTGCATGTTGCACATTTAAGGACATTTTGGTTTTGAAATTCCCAAATTTTCCCATTTTTATCCCAAATTTTTTGGCCCCTCCCACTCCAATTTAGGCCACACCCACCTCAGCCAAGCCCCACCCCTAAAAATTAAAAAAAAAAGATTAAAAAAAAAATCAAAAAATGGCAAAAAATTATAATTTAGTGAGGCCCCTTTAAGAATAAGCCACACCCACCCCAAAAAATAAAAAAAAAAAGAAAAAAATTATCAAACAATGGCAAAAATTAAAATGGGGCACGGCCCCTTTAAGAATAAACCACACCTACTTAATGCCCATATATGGAACACAAGCAGCTCAGAGTGTAAAAAATGAGGCCACGCCCCTTTAGGACCAAATTTGGTCATGACCAATCAGGCCATTTTCCCTTTAGAATTCCCAAATTTTCGATTTTTTCCACAAATTTTTAGCCCCTCCCACACCAATTTAGGCCACGCCCACCACAGACAAGCCACGCCCACAACTTCTTTTTTTGAAAAATTTTGAAAAATCACTAAAAAGCATCAAAAA